TGTCTGCCTTCAATTTGTTGTTGTTTCTTTACCTTGCTGCTTAAAGTTTCTGGCTTGTTTCTTTTCGTTTGCTGCCTAGTACTTTTTGTCTGCCCACCCGACTTCACTTTTCCCGCCGGCCTATGTCGCTTGCTGCCTTCCCAACTAGTTCTTTCATGCCCTCCAACCAGTGTCACGTCCTGCCTCCCCACCCACCTCCCCCCTGCCCTCCAGCTTATGTGTCACTTGCTGCCGCTTGTCGTCCAATGCCTTTGCTACCTCATGCCTTTCACTTCGTTGCTGTTTGTTTGCCTCTTTTTGCTACCTTGTGCTCTTCATCCGTGTAGTAGTTGTACACCTTGTACTAGTGTTGGCCTTTTTTTCCTGTGGTCGTCCGTGTGTAGTACTTGAAGGATAATTGTCTTGGGCTCAACTCACTCACATGCATATTATTCTCCTCCTGAGGTGTTGTGGTGGTATGGGGCATGATCTGTTACTGTGATGAGGCCAATGTTTCATATGTGTTCACACACATCTACACACACACACGCTCACTTGTATACTTTTGGCATTGGCCATTGGTCTACCCTATTTTGTTTGGCTGAGAGTTCCAGCAATTGAACCGATACCCTTCCCAGCACGAAAAAATTGGAGTATCCTTTTGTGCCCCTCTTTCCCGCCCTCCCCCGATTAACTGCTTTCGGCGGAAATTTAGGATTCAGTATTTGGTATTATCGGGGCCTACAAATGTATGATCAAAGCGCCCCTGACCCCAAAAGGATGTTACGGACCCTTTTGCTCTGCCCCTCCCGCCTTTTCCACCCATGATGGTCCTTTTCCATTTTTCAAACRACGGGCCTCCTCCCGCGGCTACACGGACTATTTATGTGATGCCCTCCGGTGCAATTACCCTCTCTCGTGGTATCCGGGAAGTATACGACTAGCGGCCCCGCTTCGTCRAACGTTTCGGAGCGGCTATTTGTATTCTCCCCATACTACGATATGCGGTTCCCTGCGGTAGTTGATTGGCACCTCATACCGCGCTGTGGCTCCCAGTGACTGTGTGTCGACTGCTTCGTGGGTAGTTGAGCTTGGATTACATGGCACGTGGATCGTCTGCTTCTTTGGTCCTCTCCTCCCGAATCACCATGGCGGCAGCTTCCTCTTCCCGTCCGATGGTGGTAATGCCTCTCGAATCTTTTTTGCCCCACCACCCTCCCCCCGTCCTCCTCCCCTTGCTCACCCTCCTCCCCCCATGAGTGCTTCTCAATGCTCCTCTCGTCAAAATCCCTTTGCCTTATCCCACAATCTCCATTGATTCCTTTTGCCCCTCCCCCCATCCACCTCCCCAAGCCCATCCCTCTCCCCTCCTATTTGACACTTCTCTATGCTCTACTCGTCTAATGCTTTGTGCCTTACTCCTCCCATCTCGGTACGATAACCAAGGGGCATCTTTTCCCCTGATGAGCCAGTCTGGCAGGCGCTGGCGAAAAAGCTTTAGGGACTGTTCTGCCATCCCCCTTCTGTTTGGTTTCGTCGATACGTTGGGGTCGCTCGACCGATTTGGGACGTTTGTGCTTCTTCCTTTTTTATCTTGTCCAACTTTCTGTTTTTTTTCCCCCTCCCCTCTCTCCTCAACCCCCTCCAATGAAAGTTCTCGTGTTCCTCCCCACCCACACGAGATGGATATCTAACATGATTTCTCTTCATTTGCTGTGTACGTCTGCATGCATGTTTGTCGTAGGAGTTGCTGGCGATCTCGCACCTCCAGTAGAGCATCTATTCGTCGTTAAGATGGCCATGGAGTTGTCGTCATTTTTCCTGGGAGTTCTCACAATCTTCAGCATGTTGCTAGCAACGTTGGCGTTTTTCGAGTTCCTTGATTCCTTTGACCACCGTCGGTCGTGCTGCTATTTCCCCCCCCCCCCTTCTCTCAATTCTTCGGCTTCCCCCCTTCCGCACACAAGGTGTCCAGCCTAGTGAACTGCTCAACATGGGTTCCCTTCGTAGGTCTTCCTCGTTTATTGTCGCTATCCTTTCGGCAACGCTGCTTTCTTCGTTCATAGCCCTCCTGATTCTGGCACGCAATACTTGTCTCTCCCCCTCCCCCCTTCCCTCTCAGCAATGCTCCCTAGAAGATTCCTCTGAGCTCGCCCACCAGTGCTCTTTACACTTAGTGGTAGTATTTGCCATCTTAGTCGTCATGCTGACGTTCTTCCTCACCCTGGTTGTGTTTTGGGGTGATGGGTTTGATAGAGTTACGATTTACTCAACCCACCCCCCCTAGAATCATTGAGCTCTTGTTCAGGTTTTTTAGCAGGCATTCCTGGCTGATTCTATTCCGATCCTATGGCTCGAATTGGTAATCAGTTTTGGCATGACCTATTGATACTCGATCTTGCTGGAAGCCCACCCCTATTGGCGCGATCGTGATTGATAAGGAATTCGCCTTACTCTACTCGGTCAGGATATGGAAGTAGATCCTTGGACTTTTTTAATCAATCCTTCCAGCCATTCGAATAAGCATCGTTTTCGCCATTGATGCTATCTGCGCTATGATTGGATTAGCTGCTGGAAGATACTATTGGGCTTTTATTTGAAACAAGGGTCCCAATATGCAGAAGCCTCAGCACGCGTTTTGGGTCGCTCGGAAAATGGGCGGTTTGCTTTTCTTCCCTTGATTGGAGCATTATGGATTGTTGAGTAGTACTTAGAACGGTTTACTTCCACTTTGTAATCGTCCCGGTTGGCTACTCAGTTGGTAAACTCTTCGTTTTCGTCAGATTGGAAGTCCTTGTGTTCATGTTCTCGATTTGCAATGTCGTCACCAATTGCTTCTCCGATTCATGCATGACGCATAACAATATGAATGGAATTTCATGTT